ATTGGACGAGTTTTTATAAATTTCGACCTGGGGCACCCTATATTTTTCACGAAGTCAGCGGATTTCTTCGTTTTCTTACTCACTAACGGACTATTCTTCACCAACACTTCCTTGTTTCAATTCTAAAAAGGTTCCTCGAAACTGTTGTGAACTGTGCCTTCAACAAGATTAAAAGTGTGTTACTAATTACTGACGCATTGAGGACTGCAATGTCTGTGAATTGACTGAGGAGGACAGCTCTATTTCTGATTCGTTCCCGTAGTCAAGTGTTGTCATCTGAACCTCTTCCGTAGACAGCTCATATTCGATAGTTGTCCCTGGACCTGGAATTGTCGTCATTGAGGATGGCTCTGAAAATTGTTCTCATTGGAATTGCTGTCGTTGTAAATGTCGCCCCTGCATAGTCACCAGACCTGTCATCGGCTTATATTCTGAAGTATCCACCAGAGGTGAAGCTATCGTCTCTAAATCTGACGGCTCTGAAATCATTGTCGTTAGAGTTGCTATCGTTTCAGTCTTCGCATGCTGCGCATTCTCCATTGCTGTGACAATTTCAAAGGTTTTCTTAACATAAAAGGGGGAGTGAGCAGTTTCCAGCAGAAAACAGGTTTGGGAACTCATGAAGTGTCAGCAGTTTTACAGCGAAGAGCCTGATCGACCGCCTCACGCGGTCTCAAATATCAGCATTTTCAAAACCTCAGAGGCAAAAGCCCTGAATGAGATTGGTTGGCATCCCACCGGATGTCAATGAAAACTGCTCTCCCGGGATGAGCAGAATGCCGGTCTACGGACTACTTGGACTCGGTTCTTTTAAATTTGCCGTATGCGTCACTTTTCTATCCTCGTCTGGCGCACTTCCGTTTGATGTAGTCTTTGAGTGTCGTGCTTGCCTCTCCAATGGGACCGCCACCACCACCGGCTGCTTTCATTGTCCACGACCAGTCGCGCGACTGGTCGCTCACAAAATCGTGGACTATGAAAGATGCCGCCGCGTAGGCTTCACCCGGGGTATTTTCCTCTGCGCTTTAACCTCTCGCTGTCAGGGGCGTAGAAAGAGTTCAAGTAACCTTGCAACCGTTATACTTATTGCTACGGCTTCTAAGGGACCTAGCCAATCTGGCGGATGCGAAGAATATATTAGGGTGTCTCGAGCAAGGACGGTATAGGTCCAGGACACGAGCTGGTCCTGTTGCAACTAGAGGGGCGATAGTTTCATCCCTCACGGTGTATCCAGAATCGTCGGCTGGGACTTCGACTTTATCGCCTTCTAAAGCGATCAAAACTCTCACAAATGAGCTTCACCCTCGTCGGGCAAAGCGATAGAGGGCTTGTGATAAAATATTTCATCGGGCTCATTTTTCCTTCTAGGTTTCTCCTTTCCTGTTTGTGGCCCTTTTTTGACCTGTGGAAATTATCCGTTCTTGGCTTTGGCATTCTTTCCCCAGGGAGCTCTATTAGACCATTGATGAAGATGCATCTACAGGTTCATGTGTTACTAATAGCAGACCTGTAGCGACTTTCAAAATGTATATTCAACCCCTTCCTAGACTACTAAGGATAATATAAGCTTCTCTTCCGTTCGATTAGCTAATATAAATTATCCACCTGTTGTCACGGTAATATTAGCCTCGTATTCTGCCAAAGGAACAGCTCTCTCTTCTATAAGAGTTTGCTCTGAAAATATTTATGCATTAGTGCTTCATTTGAGGAGATTCTGTTCAGAAGCCTATAAACATGAACCGTTATATCACCGAAAAAATATGTACAGGCTTCGGCAATCGTGAAAGCGGTCTGAAGCACCCCTCCCCCTCCCTTCCTCCTCCCTCTTGATCCACTACGTGTTCCTACTATATTTTTTTACTGCCATTTTATGAATAACTCTTTTTAAATGCATTGCCGTGTGAGGGCGAAGATAATGCAGTGACAAGTAGCACTCTCTCGCCAAAGAAACCGAACCTCATTTCCCTCCAGGCTCGGTCAATCGGTATCGAAATCGTCTAGAAGTGTGAAAACCCTAACTTTTACATGGGCTGGCCACTGCAAGTCTTTCTATAGGTCACAACCGCATTCAAATTGCCTTTACGATTTTGAGTGCAGGGCGCAACCCACAGATATGATTGATTAGCTCTGAGATATCACATTTTCTCCTTCAAGCTCAACTGCGTACAACACCGTGAACGTCTCATGGCAACTGATAACGAATTTTGTTGAAGATAACCTGAAGGGTGGTCATCTTACACTACATTGACCGCCCTTTCCTCCATTTTACTCGCAATAAGAACGGAAGGAACCGTTCTTACTGCATGTGAGAACGAGAACGTACTTTTTGTCTAGCCTTCATATATTGATTTAGACAATTCTGAAAATCAGGAAAGGGTCTAGGAATCATTTGCAGCTCCTCTAATTTCTCCTTACTGCTATTGTTGGAATGCCTTTACTCAATCAAAGATGAAATGAGAATCTACACCCGTCAAAGTTGACATTCAATAAAATACCATTCAACGATTCCGGTGTCCATTATCTCAGTAATGAAATTCTACCCAAAAATCATGTACAGCATATAAACAGGGGCTTTACATCAATCTTCATTTCTAAAGACATTAGTTTTAGCAGTGATAGTGCAAGTGGCCGAAACTTTTAAAGGCACGGTTCACGATAAAAAAGGTTACTGAGTTCTTCCTTCAGGAATACTCAGCGCCCCCCATGGGTAGTAGAAGGGACCCTCTCGCTCCCACAATCTCGGCGCTTAGGGCATAGTGGAAGCCCCGTTGCTGCCGTAGTTCGCTTTAGCGCCCCTCGATCGGTGTCACNTTAGACGAGTGTCGAGACAACACAGATTGCTATTATTCGGTCTAGGACCCACGCACAATCAGCTAATCGCCGAGTGATGAGGCGATATTTTTCTCCCATTCTTTTTTCCTCCGTTTTTCTTTTTGCTGCCGCGATCCCTTATTTAACTTCCTACTGCGAGAGGCTGAGAAAGGTGAGCTACTTTTGCTGTTACTAGGCTTTTTTTGTTAATGTATGCTTATAAGTGAATGAAGTTTTGCTTACCACTGTCTGATATTCGCACCAGGCGTTCCACGCGCGCAGTGAAACACACTGTTCAGCTCGTCCGGACGCCCTACTCTTCTTCATTTTTCTGGTTTCATTTTCGTCCAGCCCCCTTTTTAACGAATTTCGAAGCCTTTTTTCACTTTGGAAACACCGATGCGCGCATTTTCTTCACCTCAGTCGCACTAGTTTCGATCTTGTCTTCCATTTTACATCATAATCTGGATCACCCAAAATTATCGTGAACTGTGCCTTTAACCTAGCTGAACAGTAAAGCCCTGTACAGATAGGTACATAAAAACTGTATAGAACAGCTTCGGCTCTTCTCCTTTTTATATTAGGACTGAAATGCCTCACTGAGACACCACCCTGGTCAAAATCGGTTGCTATTATCAATCGCCACCTTCACAGATATAATCTCACCACATCTCTCCGACGTTGAGAAAACTGTACGACTAAAGGGAACAAAGTTGCGATCGATCGGTCAATTACACACATAACATACGTACACAATATAGCACCTCGGCATATCGGCCCACATCCCCATAAATCCTACCAAACGTGAACTGAGCAAGCGTGAAGGGAGCCAATTTGTGAATCAAGCGCACATAATCTAGAAAGCCTTTGGGTAGGACCGGTGACTTTGGATTTCCCAATTCCTCCTTACCGGAGTCCAGTCCTACCATCCAATTAACTATTTTCATATTGCTATTTTCGTGCACGCAACGCTGCATTAGACAGAGTTAGTACCTGCCACCTGCCATTAGTGTTCCCATCATGCCTTCTGTATCTTCGCAGCAGCCGCCCAGTGAGCTTATTGAGGTTCTTTACAAATTGTTCACGAAGACCATTCTGACTCGCATATCGCGAACATTGGATGAAGCCTAACCAGCCAAACATGCTGGTTCTGGAAGGTATTCAGCTGCTCGAGTCTTATTCAGCAGGTCGCGTTGGTTACTGAAGTGTGCCGAGAATTCCGAATGTCCCTCGCCCTTACCTTTGTTGACTATGGAAAAGCTTTGACAGTGCAGAAACAAATGCAGTCCAGTGAGCACTGGTCGTTCGAGCAGTTATGTTTCCCTATGTGGGATCACTAGACCGCTGCAGTAGTCGTTAGAGTGCACCAACGACCTCTCAAGGTCCGTTGCACGCTTCCATCGAGACTAGGTCACCCTGCCACTTCGCCCACGGCGCAGTACACTGAGGTCTCGAGATAACATCGCAGTACCACCAAGGAGAGGCGGTCGTTTGGCGCGATGAGCGGGGTCGCGCCGCCCATTTGAGGCGGTTCGCGAGGTGAACAACTCGTTCAGTTTGAGCAACCCTCTATCTGTTCTCTCCAGCTGATAGAGCGCGATCAGCGACGCCGCTACTATTTGACGACGAATTGCGGACCTGCTTGTATTCTGCCTACACACATCATCCATTTGGCGCTTTTGTGTGATTTTTTATTGCTTCTTGTGCTTTCACAATCCGCTTTCTCTATGGATCTTCTTTGAAGGATATTTGTATTTGAAGATAAAGCACAAGAAGCAATGAAAAATCTTACAAAAGCGCCAAATGGATGATATATATAGGCAGAATACAAGCAGGTCCGCAATTTGGCGTCCAATAGTAGCGGCGTCGTTGATCGCGCTCTATCAGCTGGAGAGAACAGACAGAGGGTTGCTCGAACTGAATGAGTTGTTCATCCCGCGAACCGCCTCAAATGGGCGGCGCGACACCGCCCGTTAAATAAATAAATAAATAGTCCGTGTTATCTTCTCTTTCAGCTTACTGCCGTTGAGCAAGCGCCAATCGCATGCCCCACGGACAACTGCGACATCCGTCAGGTATCGCGGGCTGACGCGCCGCTGCGGCGGCTGCGGCGTGACCTAATTTAAGGGACGCGCGGAACGAGGAGCACTTCTCCCAATTTCTAATTGGGGGGGGGGGGGATGTAAGACAGTGCAGCACTATTCCCGCGAGACTGTTCACAGTCGCGGTGCAGTGGATTATGGAATCGCTGCACTGGGAAGAGAGGGGTATTCGTTTATGAAGACGCTTCCTCTCAAATCTCGTTTCGCTGACGGCATTGTTCACTTTTCAAGCAGCGCTGCGAAAGCTGACAAGCAGAACTCAATGAAGCAGGAAAGGAGGTAGGGCCACTGATCAAAACGAAGACACAGTTCGTGGAAAATTCGTGGGCTGGAGAAGGTCAACCATAGATCGATGGTACACTTCTTAAGGTGATAAGACTGAACAAATAGCGAGAACTGCTTTCCGAAAAAATCTGTCAACCATCTGACTGATCCGAAACTTCGCGCTAATTTGTTTGTACAATTCTCAATGCGCTCTGTTACGCGTCGGAGACATAGCTGGCCAGTGCAATCACATCAGTGCCTTTGAGCACAAGCCACAGAGCACATGATGGGCCAGTCATACCATGAGAAGAGAGAATGACCGATGGACAACAAGAGCAATTGAGTGAGCTTCCGTACATCTTT